CCCCAAAACCCCAAAACCCCAAAACCCCAAAACCCCAAAACCCCTGTAGAATTCACCCTAGTTGAAAGTTTTAATAAGATTTACCTAATCTATTCATTACTAATGGCCCAGCCCACATCGAAACCTTAGGTTCTTGAGTCTTTAGGTGAAATCTTATGTCTTTTAAGTCAGACCCGCTCTTACAAAGCTGCTAGGGCGCCGTCGATGTCAGCAATGAGGTCCTCTGCGTCTTCCATTCCGACTGCAATTCTGACAAGTCCGTCTACAATTCCAATTTTCTCTCTGTGTTCTTTAGGTACGCTCGCATGAGTCATCAGAGCTGGACACTCAGCCAGACTCTCGACTCCGCCGAGGCTTTCTGCGAAGATGAAGATCTTGAGGCTCTTGAGGAACTTTCTGGAGGACTCTGCGTCTCCATCTTTGATCACGAAGCTAAACATGAAAAGAGGGCTTACGAAATGACTCCTGCTCCACCGGTGGCTTGCTTCTTGTGGGTTTCATAGTACTTGTGAGTAGGCAACATTGGGTAGTACACTTCACCGACTTTGTCGCTCTTCTGAAGATACTCAGCAATGGTCAGCGCGTTTGAGTTGATCTTCTCCATCCTGACTGACAAAGTCTTGATGGACCTCAACACGAAGTAGCAGTCCATCGGACTTGTGGCTGGACCGATTGAGTATGCATTGAAGTGCAGTCTCTCATACAACTCTTTGTCGTTGGTGGCCAGGGCTCCCATAACGACGTCGGAGTGGCCACCCAGATACTTAGTGACCGAGTTGACGACGATATCTGCTCCCAACTCCAGTGGCTTCTGGTTGTAGCAAGTCATGAAAGTGTTGTCCACCACAAACAAGATATCGTGTTCTTTGCAAATCTCTGAAATGGCCTGGATGTCGAAGCACTTCAAAAGTGGATTGGTCGGAGTCTCAAGCCAGACCATCTTGGTGTTCTCTTTGATGCTTGACTTGACTAGGTCGAGGTCAGTCATGTCGACGTAGTCGGACTCCATGCCGTAGACGGGTGCTGCAATCTTTCTGAAGTATCTTCCAGTTCCTCCGTAGATATCATCGACACAGAGGATGTGGTCTCCAGACTTCAAGGTGTGGGTGATCACCATGGTGCATCCGAGACCAGAGCCTGCGGTGAGTCCGTACTTACCGCCTTCAAGTGATGCAATGACGCTCTCGAGGGCTTCTCTGGTTGGATTTCCGACTCTTCCGTAATCGAACGAGTAAATGGGGTCTGCTGCATCAGTTTGAGCGAAAGTGGAGGTCATGTGGATTGGAGTGTTGACACTGCCGTAGAAAGGATCTGGGGGCTGTCCGTAGTGAATGGCTCTGGTGTTGAAGCCTTTGTTGTCATACTTCTCGTTGTAGGTTTGGATGTGGTTGATCCTATCCTCTTTAGTGACTTTATCCATTTTAAATATTAGCAATAATTGGAGATTTGCTCAATTTTATTTAACCCATTAGGGGTTTTGGGGTTTTGGGGTTTTGGGGTTTTGGGG